CCGAGCTTTCGTTCTCCATGCCCCTGGCCTTCAAGTTGGGACTGCGTTACACTCAGGGTTGCGGAGCTGGACAAGCCCAGCGAGGTCATTGATGTGCAGCAGGCTGTTGCCGCTCGCCGCCCGAACTCGGTTGTTGCGTCTCGCACTGTTTGTGCGATTCTGGGCATGCTCTGGAGCTCACCAGGATGTGCAGTTAGTAGTGTTGCTTCTTTGGATTCCCTTTTTCTGTGTTCTGCACCTTCTCTCAGTTCAGGAGGAGTGCGTGAATGAGGAGGTACTTGGAGCGCAAAATGTGGCAAAATAGTGGGGGCTGTAAAGCAGTTCTTAGCCGAGACCGCTCATGACTGCAGAGCTGACCGCTAGCCCACACGCTTCTTCAGGTACCCGATGAGCCGGAAAACCTTCATAGCAATCCACAGCTTCTGCCGATCTATAGAGAGCAGCGCTTGTCAGTGGCGAGCGCGGAGTGACTTGGGCGAATTTCGGGGTAGCTGGCTACAGAGTACGACTGTGACTCTACGACGATGGCAGGTGGGCACTGCACCGTAAATGTCTCAGAAAACACAATTCACGCAACGGGGGCATGCAGTGCAACGGGTCAAATCAGAAGAGCAACTTGGCCGGTGGTGTTTCGGAACAGTGTGTTGACTTGTGTAGGGACGTCCGACATCACGCAGCCTCTGCTGGCTGAGCAACTGTTTTGTAGGAAGTGGCCCACATCCATTTGTGTATTCCTCTGATTCTCTTGCAAAGGCGCTAGGCCCGCTAGGCAGAAGGTCCTTTCTTGATGTATAATCCGGGATGGCGGTCTGCGCGAAATGCGAGGGTTGCAGCAGCGTGTGTTGATCAACGTTGCAGTCGAGGCTTCCGTTGCCCTATCGTATGTCGTTCCTAGTGCCTGGGCCAACAGAGGTCTTAGGCCTTACAGCTTGGCAGGTGATGGTTTTCTGCTTGAGCCAGGCTTGCTGTGAGGATTCTTGAGGATGTTGACAGATTAACCTTAGTGCCAGGTCTTTGCTTCGCTTGAGGCTGTGGTTCTTGATTTTGTTTCGTTTCGATCCTTTCACCGGTGGTGGACCAGGCTTCGAGTCTCTGCGAAACGCTGAGGACACAAACTCCTCGCGAGTTTCGAAGAGGGGGACGCTGGACACAGACACGACAAACATGTCGAAGAGGAAATCTCAAGACACCGACGGCAGCAAGGCTGTCAAACGTCAGCCCGAGGCTCTCATGCACTCGAGCCGTTGT